TCAGGAGACCTGCTGCTGGCGACCTGGCTTGGTCCAAATCCACCGCGTGGCCAGCCCTAGACCCCAAGCCGCCTCCATGGGCTGCCTTCCCATCTGTGGCAACAGCAGCCTGAGCAACCAGTGAGCATACGGGAGCCCAAGTTCAGCTCCTGGCTGACTGTGTGACCCTGGGCCAGTGCTTTGCCTCTCAGGGCCTCGGTCTCCTCCTCTGTGAGCAGCAGGGCGGTGTGCAGGACCCTGGGGTAGCAGCATAGCCAAGGGCACTACCAGGGCTCCTGCTCTTCACAGGGCAGGTGAGACATCTAAGGCCTCTGCTCTCACAGGCCCGGAAATGGGGCTGCAGCCCACGAAGCCTATGCCCATGGAAGGGACCTGGCTGCCCACTTCCTTCCTCCGTCCCTGACTCCCTGCTTTCCTTCCTTTCTTCTTTCTTTTCCATGGGGCCTGTGTGCTAGCAGGAGAGAGTGAGAGAGAAAGGGAGAAATCACCTTCCCAGGGGGATGGCCACGCACAATCCTTTCACAATCCTTTCTCCTCTATTCTCCTTGGGATTTGGGGCACGCTCACACATGCACCTGGTGTGTTTCTCAAGTCCCCAGGTCCAGGACTCGAACTGCCCAGTCAGCCATGTAGGATCCAGCTGCCTCAGTCACCACACCTATCTTCTGCACATGGTTCAGAAACCTGTGGGCAGTGGGTCCTTGGGATGGGACTTCTCCCCTGTGCCTGCCCAGGAGCGAGGGAGGGGAAGGGGTGTTGGGCCAGAATTCGGCGTCTCGGCTAGGAGGCAGTGCAGGCAGGACGGCAGCACGGGGCAGCCCCGAGCACGTTCTGGATGCACTTCTGCTGACTCCGCAGCCCTTAGTGTGTATCGGCGTAAGTCAGTCCTTAGTAAATAGTCACCAGACTAACTTAGCCACCACGACAGCTGGAGGAGGAGATCCAAACCCTCCTCATCCCACAGAGGAGGAAATGCCCAGAGAGGTTAAGTCAGTTGCCCCGAGTCCACAGCTTGGCAGTGTTGGTGTTGGGGTTATCTTCCTGGTTTTCTGACTCTAGAGCCCCATGACAAGAAGCTGGTGGGGCCCAAAACGCCCCTGGGGATCCAGGGTAAACTCTGAGATGGCCTCGGTGCTGTGCCCTCAGTGTTGAGGTGGTCACCAACCCCTAGCGTGCTGTGGCTGTGGGCAAGCCGGTCCCTCTCCAAGCCTCAGTTTCCCCATCAGTTGAACAAGGAGGCTGACCCAGATGATGGCTGAGGTCCCTTCCAGGCCGAGAACAATTCCAGGATTCCAGGCCTTGCCCGCCCAGACTGGCAGCCACACAAGCCCTGCTGTGTACTCGGAACCGTGCATGTTTAACCTCACAGTGGAGGGGTTCACCCCCTTCCTCCCCGCATTACAGACAGGCCAGAATCGATGGCTGCTAATGGAACCGTAACCTGCAGTAACGAGGAGGGGCCTCGGACAACGAGGGTGTGGCTCCTTAATGCACTGGGTTCCTCAGGGAGTCTGAGTGCGTGTGTCCACAGAGCCGCAGGCCTGGGATACCGAGTACGGAGGGCTGGGGAGTGGGTCCGTTAGGGGCTGTGTGTGCATCCTCTAGGTCCAGTGCTGCGTTTTCCAACCTTCTTTTTTTTTATTTTTGAGAGTGTTTTGGGTTTTGTTTGTTTGTTTGTTTGTTTTTGATACTGTGCATGTGCCCACCAGAAAAACAGAGGCAGAAAGCGAAAAATCACACCCCTGCAGGGATGGCCACACCATAATCCCTTGTCCTCTAATTTTCCTCTTGGCATTTTGGGCATGCACACACACATGTGTCCAGAGTGAGCTTTGAGCCACCAGGACCGGGACTCAAACCACAATCAACCATGTGGGAGTCCAGTGCCTCAATCACTATGCCACCTGCTCACCCCGTATTTGAACCTCTTATGTTCTGATTTCAAGAGGAAGCAAGACTTTGGCCCAGATGAATAATGGAGTCCAGAGGTGAGGGGAGGGAAGGACCACCTCCAGCAGTGGGTATGTAGAATTCACACTGTTGTTGCTTCCAGTGTGGGGGCTCACCTCTGTCTGTCTCCACTTTTTGGAGAACCTTCCTGAACCCTCTGGCCTAGGGCTTGCTGTCCCAGGCCCCCAGCCTGGTGTAGGAGGTTGAAAATCAAAGCGCAGTGCTTTCTCTGCATTCACACCCTACCTCTCCTGGCCTCAGGTTAGGCTATTGATGTCTCAGTGCCTGAAACCTGTCATCAGCCAGGGTTCAGCTTCTCCACCCTCTGAAGCAGTGGCCCCTAGTGAGAGCCAGGGGTAGAAGGTTCCAGAATGGAGACCACCTGTATCAACTTCCTTACTACTTGGGTGGGGAACAGGTTTGGAGAGCAGAGGGTACACCTGGGGTTACTCAGGTCATCGGCCCTGGGACCTGGGCTCCCGTCCCCAAAGACCTGGAGAGGCCCAGTTCTGCCTCTGCTACTCAGGGCTCAGCCTCCTGGTCTCTCTGCGGGGGAGGCCAGAGGGCAGAGTCGCCTGGAGAGGAAGCAAGCCTTCCCGAGGGATGGGAACTGCCACAGGTAGTTTCTGGACCACCGAGTTTTGGGTCATGTCACTTCTCCATTCTGTGGTAGTTTCCCCTTGTGTAACGCTGGGGGAGGCCAAGAGAGAGTTCAATGGCCCCAGAAGCCCATTCCACCCTGCTCTTCGTTCCTGAGAATCCCTGCCCGGCTTCTCAGGCTGTTCTACCACATCCTGGTTGCTGCCCTGCTTACCTTCCTGTCCCGGGGAGTGGAAGTGCAAGGGCCCGACCTGCCAGCTTCTCTGCCCTTGAGGCTGAACCTATGTGGGCATGGGGTGGAGGAAGGGGACTTCCAGGCAGCCCCAGAGGGCGGGGTTCAACTCTGTAAACATGTCACAGGAGCCCCAGCCCCCCAACCCAGAGCACTGGACCTGTCCCAGCCTGGGGCCATCCATGGCACAGACAGTGGAATAGGGACTAGATAAGTGGATGCATGGAGGGATAGATAAATGGATTGGTGGATCGGTGGGTGGATGGATGGATGGATGGGTGGGTGGGTGGACGATGGCCTCCACTTTAGTCCAGGGAGCAGAGGTGACTTCGTGAGTGTGCGACCTCCCATGCACCCCAGGCTTCATAGGTCCTGTGTTTGACTGAAGCCTTTGCAGTCACCATCTTGAAAGTCTCAATCATTTTTTAACAAGGAACCCTGCATTTTCGTTTTCCACTTGCCTTGAGAATGATGTAGCTCATCCTGCCAGGGAGTTTAGGCTGGGGTAGGATGGCTTCGAATCCGAAACTGACCTCACTGCCTCACTGCCCCCATCTACTCCACGACCTCTGACAACATGCCAACCTGTTCGTGTCAGCCTCCTGCGCGGAGACCTCCCCGCCCCGCCACCTTCTGCAGTGTTTGGAAATACAGCATCGTTGTGGCCCAGCCAGCAGCTTAGCCAGGCCCCGGCAGCCAGAGGAGCTTCTGAGGGCTCATCACAATCAGTGCCCTGCAAAATTGTCTCCCTGGTGCCTCCAGGGCAGAGCCTGAATCCTTACCCAGAACCCCAAACCTTGCCCAAAGTGACTGCTGCTCTCCTTCCCTGCCTATCACCTACCTCTTTGCCGAAGAGCCGGAATTTCTTGCCTAACGAACCCTCTCTGCCCATTCTGCCTTCCACCTCCCATTCCCTAACTGCTCCAAGCACCCTGCGGAAAACCCTTTTCTCGCCTTATTCACCAAAGAGCCTGACTAAACCCTGCAGGTTGGCTCAGGAAGGCCTGCCCCCTCTGCACTGGAAGAATCCTATCACCATGATACTCACTGCTCATGGGTCAGCTGTTATGTGCCCAGTGTACGCCATCATCTCTAACCCTCACAGAAAGGGGAAGGAGTCTCTTGTGCTGTTTTCTAGGAAACTGAGGTTCGGAGGAGTTAAACTCAGAGAGGCCTCACAGTTATGAGGTGGTAGAACTGGGACTCAGGCCTGGCACCGAGTAACATCAAGCTGGAACTGCTGCTCCCAGCCTGGCTGGGCTCCCAGGCCATTCCCCTGCCCTGGGTGGCATCGGGCGTAGCCTGCTGGCTCCAGAGTCCCATGGGTCTGTTTTGTCCCCATCACTTCCAGGAGGGAGAGGGTCACCATCACCTGCCCATCCCAGTTGCCCAGCCTAGTGAGTTCTGCATTATTTGGGGGGCAGTGAGGCCCAGGCATGAGGTTGGAAGAGCTGACCCAATCCAGCCTGTGGCTCTCTCATGCCACATAAGCATCTGTTGAGCACCTCCTGCAAGCTCGATTCCATATGAGGAGCTCGGAGGGCCTACATAACTGTTGGGGGGGTTCCTGATTTTCTAGAAAATCAAATTAGGGATTACTGCCGAGGCACTGGAGGAGAAGTCCACACAGTGGACTGGGCATCCTGCAACTTGGGTTGAGTTCTAGGTTGGCCACTAAACCCCTGAGCGTGTCCTACAAGACCCTCCCTGCACAGTGTCCGTGCACCTGGAAGGGCTGCTGCTGACAGTGGCAGGAGTAACAGCAGTGATCCCTTCTTGGGGAACCCTGGGTGGGGAGGCCTTCCTCCGCGTCTAACTTGTCACAGGCATCCTCTGCTGACAGGCTCCTCTAGTGGGGTCTCGGCTGTGGGCTCGAGGCTGAGTAAGCGGCTTGCTCTCCGTGAGTGGGTGGATAATAGTAACCGGGCCACTGGCTTTGCAGAGGGCTGTGTGCCAGGCCCTGGTCTAAGCATTTAGCTCGTTCTAACTCCTTTGATGGCCTCAACACCTCTGTGACGAGCCTTGATTTACAGACCAGGAAACCAAGGCCCAGAGAGGCTGAGGACGGGGAGGACTGGAGAGTGAGTGACTGCAGCGAGCAGGGGGAACAGATGCTGAGACACAGCGGGTAAGTGAGACGTGGGAGTTTTCTCCCTGCTGACCTGCTGCCCAGGAGGACTCTGAGGGGAATCTCAATGCTCCCGAGCTGGCACCAGTCAACGGCTGTTTCCTCGTGAGTGAGCCACCCCTGCCGATTTGCGGGCTCCAGGCTGCTGGGGGAAGGCCGTGTGCTGCAGGTCAGTACAAACGGGCCCTGGGGCCAGCCTGCCCCCTGCCCACTTGGCTCTGAGAACCCATTCTCTTTGCGGCCCCCAGCCCGGCCCGTGGCTGAGCCTGGACTGGCAGCAGCCTGGGGAACAGAAGGTTTGCTTGTCTGCGCCTGCCGCGCCCCCATCCCCAGCCTCAGCCTGGGACCCCTTTCAGGGGCTCCTCTGGCTGCCAGGGCCTGGCGCTGTCCGTTGCCATGGCTCCGGCCGGAGATGAGGCTCTGGGGGGTGGGGGCAGGGAGGGCAGCCAGGGATGGTGGAGGCCTGGAACTCTGCAGCCGCGGGGGCCCTGGTCTTCTGTGAACAGTGGAAGGGGGTGCTGGGGCCCCAGCAGGGGCAGGGCTGGACCCTGAGCACAGCAGGCCTCTGGCAGAGCTGGCCACACACCTAGCCAGGCTATCTGGATGCTCCAAGGCCGGCACAGGCCAGAAGGCAGCCAGAGACCCTCCAGACCCAGGCTTGCTCAGCAAGGGTCTTTGCTCCCCCACAGAATGTGCAGACCCCCTCCCCACCCCAGCAGGGAGCTGCAGAAAGCACTGACTTGCCAATCACGGGGTGACCTAGGACCCCTGCACTCGCAGCGAGGGCAGAGCAGGGCTCTGACTTGTGAGGGGTCTTCTGTCCCTAAGGGCCCGGGTTCGGAATGGACCCCATTCAGGCAGGCCCTGTGTGGGAGTGTCCTCTGTGGACAGAGCTCCTTCTATACAGGATACAGGCATGGCTGTCAGAGACCCGAGTTTGCATTCGACCTCCTCGGCTGATTGGCCCTGTGACCTTGGGCAAACTACAAACTAAAGTGAAATAAAAACGTCAGATCGTCTTATTTAGCAGATGGGCTAGTTCCAAACTAGTAGAAGCTTTTGTGTGTTTTCAGATTGGGGAGGGTGGGGCATTGGAACCATTAGTCTGCGAAAAATGTTCCGGGGATGCAGTGATCAGGTGAAACCATCCTCCACTAGGCCGGCCTCTAAGGACCCTGCGCCACCAGCGAGGGGGTGAGGCCCCTGTGGTGGGAGGCGTGCAGTTGCCGAGGGGAGTGAGAAGGTGAATGAAGGGCATGTGTCCTCCCAGCTCCGCGTCCGCAGAGGCGGTGGAAAGCGATGTGACTGCTCCTTCTCATACTGTCAGCTTCGGCCTCACCCAGCCTTCGAAAGAGAGCATGAAAGAATGAACAGAGAAGTTGGGGACGGAGGGCGCGAGAATAAGGCTGGCGGCCCACTACTGCGTGTTGAGCTTGTTCCGTGCCAGGCACCGGGCTGTCCTCTTCGCCTGGCTCCTCACCGTTGCCGTCTGCCATAGGGCAGCAGTCCCATGGCATTGAGCTTTTGTGCCCCGGGGCTGGACTGCCCAGGGTGGAATGCTGAATCCACCACTGGCAAGCTCTGTGATCTTGAGCAAGTGACATAACCTCTCTGAGGCCATGGGATTGCGCTGAGAACTCTCTGAGGTCACTGGCACGCAGAGCTTGGCCAGGGTGTGGGTAGTGGGTAGTAAATTGGAGGTAGCTATTACCATCCTTTTGAGGAGACTGTTGGAGTCCAGGTGGGGTCCGGGGGCCTCTGGGACAAGGATCCACTGGGCCTGGGCAGAGCCAGGCCATATGGCCAGGAGGGTGGCCATGGGGGCCAAGGAGGGCAGGCCAGTGAGGCCCCGCAGGAGGCAGGAAGTGCTTGCTCTGCAGGCGGCGGGCAGGGGCATGCGGCCGGCCTCCCTCCCTCCCTGATCTCCTTCTCAGGCTGTTCCCAGCCTGTCTGGGGACCCAGGCCCCCTCCCTTGGGCCCCCAGTGACCGTGAGGCCCACACTGAGCGCTTTCCCACGCACTGTTCCAAGTATCTGGGCAAGCATCGCCCCTCCCACCCTGGAGCACACACACTCTGGTGGGTGACAGGGTGTGTGCTGCCGGAGGGGGGTCGGCCTGGGGGATCAGTCCGTTCTTTATCAGCCTGGCTTCGTTCCAGACAGATGTTTCATTTTATTTTGGACTTCCAGAAAATAGATCATTTCTTTCCGTTGAGTCCCTGGGGAGGTCTCCTGGGGAGAATAGCTCAGAATGGATGACGAGTGTCGGGCCTGATTTGGGCCCTGGAGAGAGGAGAGGGCAGCGGGCTTCCTCCCTCGGCACCACGGAGCTGTCGGCAGGGCCAGGGCAGGAGCCGTCTGTAGGCGTGGCTAAGGAGCTGGCCTTCACCGGACTACGGAGAGCCAGGGAGGCTGGGGAGGAACACGTCGGATAGGTATTTCTGGTTGGGATGTGAGAACAGGCAAGAGGGGATGGATGACAAGGAGGAGCCAGGGTGGGGAGCACAGTAGGTCACCCCGAGGCAGCCAGATTGCCCTGGAAGGGGATCAGCACGATTCAGGGAACCAGCCCTGTTCTCCCCTCCACTGCTACCTCCAGGGCAGCTAGAGCCTACTGGAGGCCCCAACTTAGCCAGCTGATTCTGCTTCACTCAAGGAGACTTTGTAGGACCCCCGAGGTGTGAAGGCCCCCTGGGTCTGGAGCACATGGCCTGGGTGATGGAGCTCTGTCACCATGTGATTTGGGTTGGGTTGCTTGTCCCCTCTGCCCTCAGTGTGATCCTGAAGCTAAGGGGAGGAACGTTTTGTTGGGGTGCTGAACCTTCAGATAGAAGTGGAACATAGGATCGAGGGGGCATGTGGGAGCTTCAGCCGCTCCCCAGGTCCCCCCAACTCTGCACACGCACACATAACTAATGTCCCCCCACCCTCTGGACCTTGCTCTCCTCCCTAGTTCCCAGGATGGGTTCCCTGACCCATGCTGCAAGATCACACCCACATCTAAGCCCACCTGGCTCAGACTGCCAGACCCGGGCTGTGGGACTGTCACTCTCAGCCATCCCTGGCTCCAGAGGCCTCTTGGCCCTACATAGTCCCGGGCCTGGAACTGGTTGCCTTGTTTGAGCTGAGTCATGACATCTGGCGGAGGCTCCTCCCCACACCCATCATCGCAGTCAGCACGTTTGCCTTCCAGAGCGGGGTTCTGAGAGCCTCCCAGGACAGCAGGCCTACTCCATTGTACAGACAAGGAAACCGAGGCCCGGAGCGGGGGCGAGACCGTGCTCTAAGCGGTGACAGAGCTGGGACTAGAACCAGGTTCCCTCACTCCCACTCCGAACTCGGTCTCAGGGACTGTGACGTGCCGCTGGCGTGGATGAGAGAAAACGAGACTATTAGTCAGGAGATTGGCATCTGTCCCACTTGTGCCAGCGACTTAGTGAGTCACCTTCTCTGAGTCTCAGTCACCAATCCCTGCCTGGCTGGGACAGGGCAGCAAAAGTGACTTTGTTAATGAAGTTTTATGAGAAGACTTCTAAAAGTTCATGGGAGAATAAAAATTAAAGTCTGAGTTTATTTGGGTGCAAACAATTTTGAAACCTATGCACAGGTGTTTTCAAAATATGTTTTTTCGGGAACCAGCAGTTAGCGTAATGGCTATGTCGCTGGACTCCCACGTAGTCGACCGTGGTTCGCGTCCCGGACCCGGTGGCCTAGAACTCACGCCGGGCGCGTGTGCGTGTGTGCGTGCCCAAGATCCCGAGAGGAAAATGGAGGAGAAGGGATTGCGGCGTGACCATCCCCTCTGGGGGGTGATTTCTCGCTTTCTGTCTCTATGTCTCTCTCTGTCTGGTGAGCGCATGCGCCCTATAGCGAAAATTTCTCAAAAAAAAAAAAAAAAGTTTTTTCCATGAGCTTTCGAAGAGCCCTCTTCTGTGTGGCTGGGTGGTGTGCTGCAGAGAGGGTGAGGGCCCCGGGGGCTCGAGCCACCAGTCCCACGCTGAGCAGAGATCAGGGGCAGGGAGCCATTCGTCAGGAGAGCCCTAGTACCTCATTGGCCACTCGAGTCCATATTGCCCCGGCCGAAACTGTGCCTTCTCGCTTTCCTTCCCTAAGCCTCAGTTTCCCCACCTGTGTAGTGGGGCATGAGGAGAGGGTTGGATCAGATAGATGACCCCTGGAGGCTGTGCAGCACTGACAGTCCAAGACTCTGACCCCACGATGCATGGCCCAGCCTTCTCCTCCCTCGGGCATCTTGTTTATTCAGAGCATCCTTGGCCTGAGACTTGCCGGGCACACCCTGCTCCTGTAGCTGGCTTCCTCCATCCTCAGCTCACTGTTGCTTCTGCCCAACCTGTCCCCTGCCTCCAGCCTGACCATCCCACTGTCCATTCAGTTACCCCTGGCCCCTCCCCATCTCAAACCAGCCTGGGGGGCTCTTGATCCTGCCCTTCAGCCTCATTCTCATCCCAGAAGATGGTATCATCCCCCAGCGTGCACACTCCTGTTCCCAGGAGTCCTAGTCAGAAACAGAGGTGCAGGCTTATCTGTGACACCTCCCTCAACATTCAGTCACCAAGGCCTGTCGATTCTCAGCAAAATAAATCCCCAGCCCGTCTGTTCTGTCAGTCCCACTGCCCTCTACCCAGATCCAAGCACACTCGTACATCCGTTGGGAGCATGGCGTAGGAGGCTATGGACTCACAGAGGTCGAGCCTCGGTACAGTCTCTGCCCTGCCCTTCCCAGCTCTGCCTTCCTTAGCGAATTTCTTAAGTGCTCTCTGCTTCAGTCTGCCCACCAATAAGTCAGGAGTGCTTGTGGTATCTACCTCATAGAGAGGACTGAGCATTGAGTGAGTCAATACACGCTAAGTGCTCGGAACATCCCTGGGACAGGAAACGGCGCTGTAAGTGCACAACGCACACCGGCCCTCTGGCTTGTCTGTGTACACGGTTGCAGGATCAGGTGAGTTTGGGGTCCTGTGTGCACACGCTTTGTGCTTATTGTTTGAGCTGGGTACCCGTGTGCCCTACTGCACACGGGCACATCTCCCACGGGTGTGCAGGAGAGCACCCGGGCAGCTGTCTGTGCTGTGTGCATGTGTCCTGGGCACAGTGGGAGCTGTGGCATGCATGTGTTGTGTGCGCGTGTGTGTGTTGTGTGGCCATGCATTTCTGTCGTGCCTACGTGAGGGCTGAGCACACACGCGCTTGTCACACACAGATGTGTTTCAGAGGAGCGTGCGAGCGAGCAAGCATGTAGGCAGGCATCCGTGCTGTGTGCATGTGCTCACCGTGTGCAGGCTCCCCCACCCCCTCAGCAATGTAGCCCCCCCCACCCCGGCCTGCCTGTGTCGTGGGAGCCTCAGGAACCCGCGGGGGGGAAGCTGCTGCTGGCGGGTGTGGCCCAGAAGGGCACTGGATTTATTTAGATTAAGGCGGTGGGAAAGGAGTGGGGGAATTGTGTGTGCTGCAAGGCGGGAAGGTTGGAACTCCAGCCGCAACTCCCCGTGCGTGCTCACTCCCCTGGACTTGGGTCCCCACTCTGCTTCCCTGAGGGGTCCCTCTGATTCGCTGGGAGGAGCTAGGCCCTGACCCCATCTTTGGACCTCTGAGATGGCCAAAATAGGAGTATTCATGAGACTTTCTGGCACATAGCACTCTCTTTAGGAGCAAAGGTGGGCTCCCGAGGGGTTGCCTCTTTCTTTTCTAATTGTATGAAAACATGACAGATGTTTGGGAGTGCTTCCTCCCCAACACTGATACCATGTTGTCCTGGGTGACTCCTCCCTGGAGCACAGCCCACCCCAGGAAGGGAAGCGACATGACATAGGCTTGCCTCCCAAGTCAGCCTGGACCCCTGGTTGGCCAGAACCACGGAAGTCTATACAGAAGCACAGAGGTTCATAGGCATTGTATGGGCACCTGGGATGTCAGGGAGTCATCCAAGATGCCCCAGAGGTCATGTCTGGGTCCCTGGACCTCACTCTGGTCCTTTATGGTCCTCCAGCCTGTTGTCTAGGCCACCCTTCCCTGCCACCTGCTGGGTTTCTGTTTCACTAGTTTACGCAGCTAGAAGTCACTTAGAAGTCAATTGTCCAATGCTAACAGTCTAGATGGGGAAACCGAGGACCCAGAGGGAAACAGTCTGTACAGCACATCTGTGATTGGATGCACAGGGAAGCTCCACCCATGGAATGAGAGGGGTTATGGGTTCTCAGGTGACTCTGGCCTCAGGAGTATAGCTCCCTCTTCTCACCAGCCCCTGTCTCTGAAAACCACCCGGTGAGGATAAGGAGGACTAGACCCTTTTCTATGGCCAGTCAAAAAGTCAGAGCTTTAGAACAGATGGCCACCCAGACCACTCATGGATCGGGGAAACAGAGTCCCAGGTGGGCTGGACGCTTGCTCAGTCTCGCGGTGAGTCCGAGGACCCTTGTGAAGGAAGTCGAAATACTTGCTTCTTGTAGAGTGAAATTGGTCTAAAATCAGTGGGGCGTCCTCACCCTCCCTAAAGCATCTACACTCTCTCTGAACTCTTTGCTCAAACCATCTTCTCTCCATCGCTCAGATCTTCCTGTTTGCTGTGTGACTGGGGCACGATTCTGCCCCTCTCTGGGCTTCTACCGTCAATTCAAGAAGGGTTCTTCTAGCTTAGTCTCGGACACTCTGAGCCAACACCAGCCTCAGGCTCATCAGGAGAGGGCCTGGAGGGGAGTGGATCCAGTGCCGCACTGGCGCAGGGTGGAGGGCTGCATGCCATGAAGGCCCAGCCCACACGGCCAGCCCGACCTTCCAGAGCCAGGCCAGCCCCCTCGCAATGACCTCCCATCTCCTGGCCAGCCGGCCAAATTCCTCCTTTAGAATAATAAACAGTGTGGCCAGCCAGGGAGGCTGGGAGGGGAGGGGCAGGGAGGCTGGTGACCCCCTCCCCCAGCCTCGGCTGCTAATGATTTTCTTTGGCTGAGACCTCGGGCAGGAAGGGGGGAGCCAGAGGGGCACCCGCCAAGGGGCAGATGGGCCTCTGTGGGGGCTTCTGGCTCTGCCTTGGCGCTGCTCCCTCCTGGGGTCCAGCTGGAGGAGCTGGGGCAGGAGGGAGCAGAGTGGGGATGCTGTGGAGGGGTGTCGGATGGGCTCAACTTTGAGTCGGGGAAATGAGGGGACCCTCAGGCAGACAGGTCTGAAGCGAGGAGCAGAAGGAGGGTGAAGACTTACTCAGTTTGCTTCTTGGGCACAGAGCAGGGTTGGGACTGGGGGGTCGGCAGGCCGTGCCTTGTGTCTGAGCCAGACCTAATGTGTGAGTTCAGCTCTGGAGGTCACTCACCATCACCCCCCCGGGAGAGGTGGGAGACCCAAGTCACAGAGATGGCAAGGCCCCAGATGTGGTGAGACCCCGAAGGTGGCATGCTGTAGCCTGAGCCCAGCTCCCTGGGCCAGGGTTAGGAACAAAAGGGGTGACATGGGAGAGGTGGGGGCAAGCTGGGTGTGGTCTTGGGAACCAGGCCTGGCAGCCACTGGACAGCCACTGAGGGGGACGGGGGTGTCCTCAGGCCTACAGAACCAGGAGGCTCCTTGCTGCCTTGTTGTGTGGGCACACCCCACATTTGGGGTTCCGTGTCCCCCGCCACCTCTGGCCTCCTGCTGTGGACTCCGCAGGCAGCTGCTCAGCACAGCTGGCTGGGCTGTACCTGGGGTCAGAGGCATGGCTGCCAAGCAGGAGAGTGAAGACCCACGCATCCCATATGTCTCTTTTACATCCCTGCTCTGTCTCTTTGTGTCTCCAGAACGATACTTCTGTGTGTCGCCTCTCTGTCTCTCTGTCTCTTTATCTCTCCTGGTACTGTAGAATCCTGTACAAACTTCTTTTCCTCTCACAGCCTCAGTTTCCCCATCTGGACTCAGAGTGGGGGTGGGGAGCTTGGCTTCAGTGGTATCTAAGGACCTTGGAAACGTTGCTATTTGAGGGGGTTTCCCCTGGCCCCTCTCCCCTGGGCCTCCTAGGCTGCTCTGGGCTGAGTGGAGGGGGCCAGGCCCACCCCCCACATTCCATAACCCCAGCTCCCCCGCTTCCCTTCCCACAGCCGCCTCCATTTCCTGTTGTGCTGTGGAGCTGTGGGAGCCCTCTGGGTTCTGGCCTACCCCTTCCCTCTCCCCCAGGCCTTTCATCACACTTTCCCAAATATTTGTGCTGGCAGATAAGAGCCTGGTATTGGAACTGTCACCAGGAGGCTGGACTGTCAGAGCTGGTGGGCCCTGGACATCATCCAGCAGACTTCCCAATGGTACATTCAGGGAAACTAAGGCCCAGAGAGAGGCAGGGGACTTAGCCAAAGCCTGGGAATTAGGACAGAGCCAAGCAGGGCCCAGGCACCCTGAGGCTCAGCCCAGTGCAGAGGGGAGGGGGCCTAGGGTCGGAGTGCCCTCTCAGCCATGGGTGTGGGTGGCCTCTGACTTCAGACTACAAAGCCAGGTGCTAAGATGGGCCCTGGACCGCCTCTGCCCAGCCTGATCCTGACCTCTGTTTAACTCTGCAGGACACCATGCAGCTTCTGGGTGCGATACCAGCTCTGGCCCTCAATGGTAGGTAGCTGGGTCAGGGAGCAGGGACCTCAGGGAGCTGCTAAGCAGGGCCCTGAAGCTGACGGGGACAGTGTATGCTTGCCCCAGGCATGGGAGTCCAGAAGCACTGTGTGCTCTCGAGCCTCCCCTCCTATGTTTCTAGTGTGTCTCTTGGAGGACTCCTTTGATTGCCCAGCCCTTAGTCTAGAAGCCTTCAGTGGGCCCCTGCTGTCTAGAATGTTCCATCAGTTCAAATCCTTTGCTGGACTCTCCATACCCAACCCTACTCTATAGCTGCCACCCCAGCCTCGCATCTCTTCTCAGTCTGGCTGGTTTGGCCTGGTCCCAGCCTGGGACACCCTTCCCCTGCCCAGACTTCTCATTGGCTATGAGTGCTCAAGTTCAGTCTGGGCTTCTCAGAGCATACACCTGCCCTCACTCCTGCCCATCGCCTGCTTTGGATTCCCAGGAGCTGGGCGACTGACCAAGCAGTCAATGACCAGACAACAGCCTGCCAGGCAGACACACCGTCTGACTGACTGCCCACTTGTCTGAACCTCTCCGGGTTTTCAGCACGTTGTGGGGCTGTGGCTTACCAAATGCTTCTTAGGGGGATGTCATGGAGAGGTGGCAATTACCTGACACACGCGTCCCTCTCTTTAGTCCTCACCAGCCCCAGGGGCCTCCGTGTCTCTCCTGCTCCTGTCTACCCCCACCTGAGCCCTTCCCTCTACCAACGAATCAGGGCCATCTCGGGGCTTCCAGGGTACCTGGGAGGCTGTAGGCAGCTGCAGGCAAGAAGCTCAGAAAGTGACCTGGGAAGTAATGCAGGAACTAGAGGCCTGAGAATTGCTTCCCAAGGATTTCCTGGCCTCCTCCATGCCTGCTGCCTGAACACAGCACTGCTGAAGGACTCAGAGCCTGGAGGGTTTACAGGGACCGAGGCAGGAGACAAGGAGTCCCTGGGAGCCTGGCACTGGGCAAGCAGGCCTCAGAGCCATGGAGGAGGGTCCTGGTTGCTATCGGATTAGACGTGCTTTTCAGGGAGCTGGGAACCATGCAGACATGGCCTCTCACAGAGTCAGCTCTGGAAGAGACACGGGTGTGTGTGGGGAGGCTCTGTATCCTGACGTCTGATACCTACCCTGCAGGCCAGTTCCAGTTGCTGTTGCTGCCCCTGCTGTTGCTGCTGGGACCACAGGACTCCCAAGGCCTGGCTATAACCCCTGCGGGGCCAGAGCTGATCCTCAACGTCTCCAGCTCCTTAGTTCTGACTTGTTCGGGTTCAGCTCCTGTGAGGTGGGAATGGACCTCCCAGGAGCCGCGGCAGGAACTGGCCAAGGCCGAGAACGGCACCTTCTCCAGTGTGCTCACTCTGGCCAATGTTACCGGGCTAGACACAGGAGGGTACACTTGCGGCTACTACAGCTCCCAAGGGCTGGATCCCAATGAGCAGAAAAGGCTCTACATCTTTGTGCCTGGTAAGTATCCCTGGCCCAAGGGCCTTCTCCCTCCCTCCTCTTCTTGACCAAAGGCACAGGGATAAGCTCAGAGAATGCTTCAGTGACTAAACCGCAGCCATCTTAGAAAAGTGGACACATCGTGGAATAGGCCCAGCTCAGTTCAGGGGTGGTTATTCCCACTCCTTAGTCAGGGCATCTGTCTGCCCCCTGACAGCCAACCCCGTTCCTGCCTCCCAAGAACTTGGCATTCTCAGCTGCTTCCAATCTGCTCTTCTTTGGCCCCGTGTCCCATCCTCTCTATTTTTCAAGCTCTAGGTACCAGCTTCATTTCAGTAAGTAACACTGTCATTATCACATGTTGGAGCTGGGGGCCAGCAGGTGGAGTGGTGGTTAAGGCACTGGACTCCCACAGAGTCGACCAAGGTTCAAGTCCTGGACTTGGTGGCTTGAGACTCATGCCAGGCTTGGGTGTTTGCATGCCCAAAGGAGAATGGAGGAGATGGGATTGTGGTATGGCCATCCCTCCAGCCCCAGGGGGTGATTTCTCACTTTCCCTCTCTGTCTCTCTCTGGCAAGCATATGTGCCCTATGGCAAGAAAAAAAAAAGTTAGAGCTGGAAGAGGTCTCTGAGAGACAGAAATCTGTCTTTGTCTGCCTTTGCTGCTATAACAGAATACCTGAGACTGGGTAATTTATACTGAATAGACATTTATGGGCTCACAGCTTTAGAGCCTGGGAAGTCCAAAACCAAGGGCCACCATCTGGTCAGAGTCTTGGTGCTGCATCCTCCCATGGTGGAAGGAGGAAGGGCGAAAGAGAGCAAGAAGAGGGGCAACCTTGCTTTTCTATAACAGCAGCAATCCATGAGGGTCAAGCCATCAGAGCCTAATCGCCTCTTGGGACTGTCACTATGGCAATAGGACTTTTACAAAAGTTTTGGAAGGGGCAAACATTCAAAACATAGCACCATCCTTATTCTATAAAGGAAACTGAAGTCTTAGCCCGAGATGGGATAAGCCTTGCTCAAGATCATGCGGAATAGCCAGAAACCCAGTTCCCTTGACACTCACCCTTGGCTCTACCCCTGGCAGATCCCAGCGTGGTCTTTCTCCCTATGAACCCCGAGGAACTATTTGTCTTTGTTACGGGAGAAACTGAGACCACAATTCCGTGCCGAGTGACAGACCCACAGCTTATAGTGACACTGCATGAGAAGAAAGTGGACGTCCCACTGCCAATCCCGTATGACCACCAACGTGGCTTCACTGGCACCTTTGAGGACAAGACCTACATCTGCAAAACCACCATCGGGGATAGGGAGGTGGATTCCGATGCCTACTATATCTACAGCCTTCAGGGTGAGCCCCCTTTCTGGCCTGATGCTCAACAGAGGCCAGGCTAACCCTCACAGAGGTCAGCCCTTTGCAGTCTACCAAGGGTACGACACCATTTTTTTATTGGATTCTCACTATAGCCATGGAAGGGGGGTAAGTCTTCTTTACTTTGCAGATAGGGAAACTGAGGCTCAGAGAGATCATGGAGTTTGCTCATATTCATAGGCCACAACGGTGGCAGAACTTGGCTGCATAACATAGTGGCCAATGGCACAAGCTTTTGGGCCAGCTGGTTTGAATCCCGGATCTCTCATTTCCTGCCTGAGTAACATTATGCAAGGCACGTAAACTCTTCCTTTGCAAAACGGGGATGAAAGTGACTGTTTACCTCATGGGATTAGTGTGGAGAGTGGCCATAACAAAAGATGGAAGGTGCCTGGCGCATGGTGAATGTCAACACATTGCTCCTGTACTTGGGTCCCCAGAGTTCTCTGGTTTCCAGGATTTCTACACTGTTATCCTTCTAGAACAGCAGCTCCATGGGGGCAGAGATTTTGTCTGTTGTGTTCACTGCTCTAGCCTCAGGGTCTAGACTAGTCCTTGGCACACAGTAGGTATGCAGTAAGTAGCTTTCCAATAGGTGGATCTTACACACCAGTCACCCCTTCCCTCTCTGGACTCCTCCCCCATCTCCAAGCTGAAGTGCTAACTGGTGGTAAATTCACCAATCTGTCTCCACCAGTGTCATCCATCAACGTCTCCGTGAATGCAGTGCAGACCGTGGTCCGCCAGGGCGAGAACATCACTATCATGTGCATTGTCACTGGGAACGAGGTGGTCAACTTTGAGTGGACATACCCCCGGATGGAGGTAATGCTGAGCCGTGGTGGAGGAGGGGCTGGGCAGGGATGGCGCTCTCAGTTTGCAAACTGACTTCTCATAGACCCTTCCTGATACCGGGGACCTGCCTCACCTGTCCCTGCAGAGCGGGCAGCTGGTGGAGCCAGTGACTGACTTCCTGTTCGATGTGCCCTCCCACATTCGCTCCATCCTGCACATCCCCAGTGCGGAGCTGGTCGACTCTGGGACCTACATCTGCAACGTGTCGGCGACTATGAATGACCATCGGGATGAAAAGGCCATCAACGTCACTGTGGTCGGTGCGTGCCTTGGTTCAGCCCCAACCTCTGATCTGAGCTACACCCAGACCTGTCAGCCCTGGGATAGTTAGCCACACTGCACATGGTGTATGTCAACACAGACCCTGTGCCAGCCAAAGCCCCAGTTCTGGGCTAAACCCAAACTAAAGGGCAGTGTCAGCCCCGGATCCAACTCTAATCTCCACCTAGACTTTCCACCCAGCCAGAAAGAACCCCATTGGCCACCTGATGTCCAATCCCAGCCACTATCCCAGAACTACAACGCAGTTCCTAACCTCAGAAAAGGCCCCAACTCACCCTCAGCCCCAAAGTCGGCTCCAGTCCCAGTCAGAGCCCCAGTCCCAACTCCATGAACTCCATCCCAGGCCTAGTTCCTAAAGCCTGAAGTTCCGCCCCCAGAAGGTTAACACGCTTGGGCATTCAGGTGATGCCCGGCCTCCAGGAACCCCGCCTCCCGGAGACGCTGCCCCATTGGTGGCAGCCCAAGGCCCCCCCCCGGCAAGCGC